CATATCTCAACTATTAGTATAATATCTACTTGTTTATATCTTAAATAGAAACATATAATAAAATCTACGCAAGGAATGAGTCTGTCTTAAGATTGTTGGTAAATATATATGTTTCACGTGACATTTAAGATATAACTAACCCTATACTAATATAATATGAGATATTTGTAATATGCTAAAAATAATTAATTAAATATTTAACTAGATATTTAATTAAACATGCAAATTAAAACAATAAAATAATAATAATAAATAAAGAACCTGAACCGAGGCTAGTATTGGATATTATGTCCTTAAGACAGATTCGCCCCGCTATGGTGCTAACGGACTCAGTGGCGTCTATCTCCCAGGATAGAACGGTCTACATCCACCAGTAGCAGCACTACAAACTCGTGGATACGGCAAACCTCCTCTGTGTAATACTCTCTCTGACTCAAAAATGCATCTATACAATATAAATGTGAAATTGGGTACAATCCGAACCAAAATGGTTTGAACCAATCTTAATATGGCTCGATGAAATTGGATTATGATCTAAGTGGCTCGGACCACTTAGCCTATGGTTTGAACCCATATGGGTTGGGTTCAAGTCTAGAGAGGGAGATAGAAGAAAATGAAAATGAACAACTTGCAAATGATTCAAAGGGGGGTATTTATAGAATCAGAAATGCCTTTTCGGATTGGGTGCGTCTCTTCATCACTAGACACAACCATGGCAATAGGTGCAGTGGTTCACATGGTGTCTATTCACCACTAGACACATCCATTCCAATAGGTTGCAATGGTTCACATGGTGTCTGTTCACCACTAGACACATCCATTCCAATAGGTTGCAATGGTTCACATGGTGTCTGTTCACCAATAGAGACATCCATTCCAATAGGTTGCAATGGTTCACATGGTATCTGTTCACCAATAGACACATCCATTCCAATAGGTTGCAATGGTTCACATGAATAGTTATGTCTATTGGTTTTGAGTTGCAACCCTTTAGAAACAGATGCAACTCTTTGAAAAATAGATACAACCCTTTAGAAATAGATGCAACCCTTTGGAAAAAAACTAACTTTTAATTTAAATTCAAAAACCAACCACCCATTTAAATAAGCCCAGTCCAAAATTAAAGGCCCAATCTAAGATTCCTTTTAGTAAAAAGAATAATTGGACTTTACAATTAGACGCAAGCCCAAGCCTAAGCCCAAGCCCAAGCCCAAGTTTGGCTTATTTAAATTTCAATTGATTTCAACATTTTTTTTTTTCTTCATGTGGGACAAACACTTCCTACATTTTGCATACCCATTTAGGCTTATCAAAATATCACACTTTGGAGCTAATTTCTCATTCACCCGGAAATAAATTTGAGAAAGTAAATATAGCATGTTCATCTCCTTATGGAGAGAAACGCGCTCATCTAGAGATTCGCAAAAAATTCTTAACAAAATTTATTCCAAATCTCATTCAAAATTTATGCTTTTAATGCCTCTGTTTCCAACAGTCATTTCATGTGTGCGTTTGTGATTGTGCTCAATAGACCAATTCAATATTCATGGGATGCCCAGATGATTGGCAAATATTTTTTCAGCTACACGATTTTCATCTATTTGAAAATCTTGGCAATTATATTATAACAACATTGTTTCTTTATAATTGATCTCAAGTCAAATCACTTTGATTAAGGTAAAGTTGTAAAGTTCAGAAGCTAATTTATTTCCTTTTATACAGGTGCAAGAGGCTGATGACAATTCTAAGAAATGCCACTTAGTTCGCTGAAGTTTGTTCGTCCATTTTTTTTAAAATTTTTTTTAATTTTTTTATTGGGATGTTATGTTCATCAGTTTCCACTGTTTCATGTATTGGACTTCTTTTTTCTGTTTTTCCTCGTGTTTTTATTTTCATTTTCATGGAATCAGTTGTCAACTTGTGGCTATTTCTTGCATATTATGAATTAACAATGTTTATCCCATTATTTTTGACTAATGGAAAGACGACATGTGGTGAGTTCTAACGAACTTGCCGCATACGATTATTACCTAATTATTTGAAAAGAAAATCATATTGTGGTACTGGAGACATTAAAATTGGCGGAGCCCAATTTGATTAGTCTAAACTATTTTCAATCCATATATAATCCATGCAGTAAGACATATTAAATAAAGTAGGTCGTTATTTATTTTTTCTTTTCCTTTTATGATATCACCAAAAAAATAAAAAAAATCATATTACCATGAAAGAATTAGCTAGAACAAGTTGTAACTGATATCAATCTCCTTTTTTTCAAATAGAATGTTAAGTGATTATGTAATTCATAATAGAATCGGGTCCATTCCTGTGGACTGGATGTTTCAGTGGGATTTTAATCGATGATGCATGTAACACACGCTATACATCAATAATGCAACACTTATGCAATATATATATATATATATATATATATATACAAATTACATCTTAATTTAAATCAAAGAGTGTAATATCCTTTTATTGTGCGTTGTTGCATCCTTAATGTACAGTATGTACTGGTATTGTATGGCGATGCATTCTTGATTTAAAAATACTAGTGTATTGGAAAGGATATGTGTCCATCGATCTACAAAGACATATATAAAAAAGCTACTACATTAGCAAGGTTTATTTCAATGAGATGGTCCGGTCCTACCTCGTCAAGACTACCCAGGGATTTGTCCGTGTCCTACACTCCTACCTCGTCAAGACTTGACATCTTAGCCCATCGACTACTCCATGTCCCTGCATTTCCAAGTCTTGGTAGTTGGCATCTCAATTGCCATCTTAGCTTATGGATTACGCCATGTCCCTACATTTCCAAGTCTTGACATAGTAATTCATCTCTTACTATACGTCCTAACTTGATGGTCAAGTGTTGCCATCGTAGAATTACTATGCTTTATTTTGTTTGATGGAAAGGATAGGAAAAAAAGAGAAGGGGCTGAGAAATCTTCCTTCACATGGAGCACGTCAGTGTCAATTCCTCGTTGTCAAGCATGATAATTATCATTCGGTAGGCCTCATCATTTCATTGAATATATATATATATATATATATATATATATATAAAATAAGAAAATTGGTATTACATTATTAAAAAAAAGAATAATACTTAATTCCTCATTAATGAAAATCTACATCATGTGGACTAATAACAAATGGACACATTCTATTTTAATTATCAAATCACAGATGGTAATCAAATCACATCTCTGATTTGGTAAATGAGTATCTACTCCCAGCATATTGAATTTGATAATTAAAGATTACATGTCCATTTATTTTTGGTTCACATCAATAATGAAAATGATATATATCCTCACTAGTGAAGACCTAAGTATGTTGTAAAATATATATATATATATTTAGATCTACTAATTAGGCTTATTTATTAAAGTAAAACAATTATGACTTGAAATTAGGGGTGGCAGGCTGATCATGAATATGAGAGTCAATAGTCCATTATCAACCCATTTATAATGGGTGATAAAAAGATTGGGTATTAAATAGGCTGGGTTAATACACACCCAATCCAATTACCTAAATATTTTTAGATACAAATTGTCAAATTATTTTAATTATTGAATACCAAAAAATATATATTTTTATATTAAATTTATTAATTTTTTGATCTCACTCAATTACAATTTTTTTTTCTTTTATTTTTTTATTATTTACTTTTTTTGGAAAAAAGTTACTATATAACTTACTTGGAGAGTTATCACAACAAAAAAGAGAACAAAAAAAGTTACTATTCTTTTATCTCTTCTCTGTTTTCTCTCCTTTTTCTGTCATAAAAAAGAAAAAAAAAATGTAATGCTTGAAATAAAAATATTAATATAAAAACAAATTTTTTTTTAATTATTATTCAATATTATTACTGAAAGTGTAGGCGTTAATATTTAATAGAAAACAAAATGTATGCTTGAAATAAAAAAATTAATATAAAAATAAATTTTTTTAAAAAATTATTATTCAATATTATTACTGAAAGTGTAGGCATTAATATTTAATAATATTAAATATAATATTAACGCCTACACTTTCAGTAATTATATTGAATAATAATAATAATAATAAAATTATTTTTATATTAATATTTTTATTTCAAGCATTACATTTTTTTTTTTCTTTTTTATGATAGAAAAAGGAGAGAAAACAGAGGAGAAGGAAGAGAAAGAAAGAAAGAAAATACAGATTTTTATTTAAGCGAGTTAAGATGGATTCTCACTCCTCATTCACTATTGACCCTTGAATTGAATGTATACTCACTTTTTACCCATTATTGACCCACTCACTTAAATTTGGATACTCAAATAATTTAATTTTAGTGAATTGACTTGAATGGTTTAATTAATTTAGGTTTAAATTGCCATCCTACTTGAAATGAATCCGTTTTAAAACAGCTTAAATTTGAAACCATTGGTAAGCAAATTTGGGTTCCACTTAGACCATCAACCACGGTTAAGTTGGTAGCAGTTTGATTTATTGTCAGTCAAGTGGAAATTCTAGACAATTGTGGTTTGCATTGGGAGGTGCAAGTGCAAGACTTTTTTTTTTGGGGGGTAATTTACAGAACCTCCTTATAGTTTGTCATAATTAAAAAGACCTCTTTTATGATTTATTTGTCATAATTTCAGGAACCTCCCCTCTTGTTTGTTTGTCGTAATTAATTATAGGACCTCCCCTCTTGTTTGTAGATACATTGAGTAGTCGGACTATATACGATTACTCTAAGCACAAACCACAAAGGTGGAAGTGTAATTTATTGAATAATACTGTAATAATAGAGGTCCTATGATGATGTTTATCCTCTCACCTGAACCGCGGTATCAACCGAACACAAAAAAAACTTAAGAGTGCGTTACCGTCACCATCCTTCTAGTCAGCGCCCTCTACGCTACCTTGGTACTAGACCTTAGACGTTTTGGCAAAGTCATGGAAGTCCACATGGTTTAATTCAATGCACCTATAATATTCTACGGTTCATATTGTTAGAAAATTATACCATGTCTACATCAAAATATCGGAATCGTTGAAGAAAAACAGTATATATGTATCAAGCCTGCGGATTGAAACGCATAAAGCAAATTGCCAACTGATCACAACTTGATATTCTCTTTTTCACTAATAAATTTCAAGGAAGGAAATTTTGTTCAACACTTCAAGTTGGTGAATCTTAAATCCAGCACACACACAGGTATAATTCCACAATCTTTAATCAAATTTGACAGTTGATTGTACTTAGACTAGTACTGCTAGCAAGAGTTCCGGACTAGCTGTGTCTAACATAATTCTTCTCCTCAAATGCTTCTCATCATCCGCTCTTTGTATTATATTTTAGGACTCAGTAAATTTTTTTTTTTTATTTTTTTATTTTTAAAATTAATTATTTTCCGCCTTAGCAGGAACCGGAGTACGATATCCATATCTTTCAGGCCACGTGGAGCGAGGAGAAATTTTCCAAACTCAGCTGGGAATTTCGACTGGCATGGGCTTAATCGTAACATGGAAGCATTCCTACCAAAGCTTCACCCCTATGAGTTTGATGCATGGAAGCATTTGCTTTCTAACATTGCCAGGTATGCACAATACTCTATGGTTATCAACTATTAGATTATAAAGCTTCACCCCAATGACTGTTCAATTCTTTTCTTCACTTTAGAGATTCATTTCCATAGATAAATGTCCTTTGTTCACATCACTTCCAAACCTCAATAAACAACAGAAATCTCATGCCACAATATCTGCCATCCATTTGTACAATTTGATATCTGCTAATATGTAGTCATGCAAAAAGAATCCATTCCATACACTAGAAATTAAGAAATGCATTGGAGCAACGAAATGTGCACTATGTGCGTGCAGCTTACAATATATAGAATTTTAGCTTACGTGAAAATAGAGAACACCAAAAAGTAGGTATTTGGCTACGTTATACATAATGAGAATATTTTCATAACACATAATACCACCAGTTTTTTCCACAAACGAGTGATGCAAAACAGGAATTTTCATTCTATTTCTCAGTTTCAAAATACTATATTTATTTTGGGTCTCACTTGATGTCATCTCACCACATGGAGCACAATATCATAGTTGTTAAAGGCTCAAGGCGCACTAAGGCGCCAAAGGCCTCTTGGAGCCTAAGCGCAAGGCGCAATATAAGGCACGAGCCTAATTGAAATAAGGCGCGTGTAGATAATAATACATATATTATTATATATATTCATAATCAAGCTGTGATTGCAGTTAATGTAAGTAATGAACCATAAATTTATGAATTTTGTCAAATATTTCACAAGGTTAAACAATACGGTATATGATATAGAACCTTTTAATTTAGTAGTCAATAAGTAAAAATGAAAGTGACATGAATAAATGATTAAAACATACAAGGCGCGCCTTTTTTGAGCCTGGAGCCTACTAAAAAGCGTGAGCCTGAGGGATTTATGTGAGCCTGATTGAAGGAGCCTGGCCTGTAGTAGGTTGAGGCGCTCTAGCTGAGCCTTGACGAGCCGGGGGCTTTTTTGGAGCCTAGGCGCGCCTTTAACAACTATTGAGCACATAAATTGGAAGGTAATCCCTACTAACACTTCAGTTAATACAAAGGATGAAAAATTGAAAGGAAGAAAAGATAGGAGGAATAGAATAAATATCCCTATGGGAAGGAAGGAACCATACTTTTTGTTTAGTTGAATGGAAATGAAATAAGGAACTGAATGGGTAATTTGTGAACTGTGAATGGATCTTTATACCATACCACAACTAATGATATATATTGGAAAATCACTTGGAAAGAGAAAAAGATGCTTCCCTCTCTTCCTTTTTCTTCCCCTTCCTCTCAAAGGAAAAACCTTCCTTCACTCCATCCTTCCTCCCTACAAAACAACTATAAACCTATTCCACTTTTAAAGTGTGGAGCCCTGTACTTCAACTCTAATTGTTCAACAAAATCATTAAAAATGAGATGCACCCGTCTCGGAGCACTTTGAAGCATGGGAAGATTAGAGGCACCCCAATCAAGGAGGGCCTCTTTCAATCCATGTGGTCCATGTAGTGAAATATTCTCAGGTTAAAAGAAATTTCATGGTACTTTCTGTGAACTTGTATTACCCATAAAGAGTATATCACTATCAAGTTTCCCACCCATTTACTTAAAAGGGTATTGAAGTTAAACTTTGCCCTCCCCTCAAAAGATTCCTTTGTTAATTACTTATTCAATCAACTTAGGTATCATTTTAACTTCCAACACAAAAAAAAAATAAAAAAATATAAGATAATATATACTCTGAATTTAACAAATTTAATACTCATCATTATAATTGGACATTTATTTTTCCCTTCAAAAGATAATGATCACTAGAAGGATTATTTTTTAAAAAACAATATTACTTATCAAATTTTTTTATAATAATATTAGTGATATCACCATGTTTTATTTTGTCAAGCTATGCATGATTCATTTATTGACAAGTACATATTAGTTATTACTATCGACCATAGACATTGCCATACATTAAGGTATAGAAATCCCATCTAAAAATGATGAACCATGTTCCTGAATGGCCTAAATATCCAATATGATTTACCCTTCAACCTTCAGTTTAGCTAAACTGCACATGCCTAAAGGTTGTAGATCTCGAATAAATCAAAAAATTCTCAAAAAATAAAAATTAAATTGTCTCACTTAAATTGTTAATCAAAATGTTAAATTCTTAAATGTTTACAACATTCTTCTACCACCTATCCTACATTATAAGGAAAACTTAACCTAGCACTAACTACGAGATCAATGCAGAACTACTTCAATCAACAACCTCATCATCTCCATCAGTCTCTATTGAGAGTTTATTTTGTAAACCAAAACCACTCATTAAACCATATTATAATAAAATAAAAAAAATGGAAGAAGAATAAGGATGGTTGGTAAGAAAAAATTTTAGTATTATATTTGTTGTTGCATAAAAATCCAAAAACCCAGAACATGTTGAAATTTATTAATAATATCAAATAAATTAAGAGAGACACCATACTACCATAGGCTTAAAATAGAAAGCAATCATATACCTATGCAAAACAGAGTACTAAAAAAATTCCTATCGTGTGATGTGATACATGGAAATAACCTTGAGATGGTGATTAAGAGAGTGAGAAACGTAGAAATGCCATATTAATTTATTAAATGAATAATGGATAAACAAATAACAGCAGCAATATAAACATAAACTATTACTTTATCAAAGTAAAAATCATCCATTCTTACCTTCTCCTTCTCCCTGTTAGTGGCTTTGTTAGTCTCACAGGTGACCTTCCTCTTCGTGTAGAATTCAATTTTGTATTCCTCGGCTTCTTCAATAATTTGGTTCAACAATTCCTTCCCTCTTTTTTCCATCTCCTCTAGTCGAATTGCGTTTTGCCTGAGCATTTAACAAGCTACATGTATTGTAAGTAATTTTAAGAACTAATTTTTTATTTTTCATTTTAATTACTCTGGCATATAGTATGCCATTTTTTATTTATTTATTATCATAGCAAATAACTCGCACCCCCACTTTAACTCTATGGGATTTGAACTCTTATCCGTCCACTTTGGGAGGTAGTCATTGGACGACAACCCTTAATGGTATATTATGCCATTCAATATGGCAAATTTTTCTTACAACCAGGGGTGGAACCAGGATTTCATTTCAGAGGGAGCACAGTTAAAAAAAAAAAATCAGCTAACATTGATATAACATGCAAAAAGAAGAATTTTAAGAAGAAAAAAGAAAAGGAAGAAAAAAGAAAGAAAATTGAGATAAATTTGAAAGGAAAAAAATTAGAGTATGAATCAAAATGGGAAATTTGACATTTTTTTATAAGAAATTTAAAGAATAAAAGAAAGAAAAAGTCAAGATAATTTTAGAAAAAAAAAATTTAGGGGGGAGCAATATATAATTTTTCACACATATTTAAAAAAAATACAAATTAACTGTATATATTCTATTGGGCGGGGCGGGGCCAGGCTAGGGGCACGTGCCCCCTAGGCCTTAATTGGCTCTGCCCCTTCTTACAAGAAGCTATAGTGAAAAATATATAGCCTAAGGTTTAAAAGTAGAAAAACTTCTATATGTGAAGAAACTAATATATCTATTACAATTTCCATGAGAAATAAAACAAAGAAGAAGAAGCAGTGTTTTCAAGCATATAGTGATATCACTACACAATAACACTACTCTGCCAATCAGCCTGCAACTACAACAATTTCAAATAGCATATAAAAAAAAAAAAAAGCAAATAAAAGAAAAAAAGCCCAGTTATGGGGTTTGTCTCTGGTATCTTGTAAAGGTTTGATTATATTATAAAATCTCAGCTTGCTTCCCAAAAAACAAAACAAAAAATTAAAAATAAATAAAATAAGTCGAGTTATCCAAAAATATTATACAACATACCCGGAAAAACCAAAAATCTCAATCCTCTATTTGTCAATCATTCATACTCTCGGGGGTCTGATATATTCACATACTAATTTTAAGTTTATGTTAAAATTCAGGTCCCAAATCCACCAATACAATTGCATAGAGAAAGTAAAATCTCTCATTCCAATTCATAAGAAATTGGGGAAAAAAAAAAATGAATTGCACAACCAGGCCAAATCTCGTTTTTTACAAAGAGATCTCAAAAATCAAAATACAACTCTCAAGTCTCAATCCGCAAATAATTTCTTCTTAGTTAGTACTTTCCTATTAACTAGACAGAAACAAAATTAAATAGTTTGAATCTTGATATAAACGGACAATAAATCAAATAAACCATTCAAAGAATATAAAGTGAGCTAAATCAAATAGATCACTGAACAAATCAAACAACCAGGGTGGAGCCAGGATTTCAATTCAGAAGGGGCACAAAAAAAAAAAAAAAAAAAAAAAAAAAACATTGATATAACAAGCAAAAAGAATAATTTTAAGAAGAAAAAAGAAAGAAAATTGGGATAAATTTGAAAGAAAGAAAATTAGAGTATGATTCAAAAAGGGAAATTTGACTTTTTTTTATTTTTTATTTTCATAAAAAATTTAAGGAATTTAAAGAATAAAAGAAAGAAAAAGTCAAGATAATTTTAGAAATTAAAAATTTAGGGGGGCAGGATATATAATTTTTTATAAATATTTAAAAAAAAAATACAAATTAACTATATATATTCTATTGGGCGGGCCCGGCCAGGCCAGGGGGCACGTGCTTTTGGCTCCACCCTTCTTACAAGAAGCTATAGTGAAAATATATAGCCTAAGAGCATCTCCAACCCACCTGCTATATGGGCTGCCAATTCAAAATATAGTAGGTGGGTTAAAATTAGGCCCTCCAATGGACTACTATTTCACTTGCCAAAATTTGCCTTTACTATTTTTGGTGCCAAATCTAGTAAAACTTATAGCAATAGCTATTTCTATATCTCTCAATCCTATCCGTCTCTCTCTTTCGTTGCGTGCCGTCTCTCTCTCTTTCGTTGCCCGGCCGTCTCTCTCTCTCTCTCCTCTCCTCCATCTGCAACGACCGGCCATTGACGGCGACCACCACCTCCGGCTTCTGTTGTCTATTTTTG